GGCGTGGGCCCAGTTCGGCGCCAACAGGATCCTCGAACGCGGCCTCGCGGTGGGAGCTGCACGGAGCCATGGTCAGCGTGGTCAGCGTTAGAAAGATTGGGGCAAAACGGAGACGCCCCAGGTTGAGGCCAGTGGCGTTGCCAGGGCGCCTCCGGGCCGGGCGGCCAGCACCTGTGGCAACCGGAGAACTTGGGAGGTGACTCGTGGGCCCAGTTCGGCGCCAACAGGATCCTCGAACGCGGCCTCGCGGTGGGAGCTGCACGGAGCCATGGTCAGCGTGGTCAGCGTTAGAAAGATTGGGGCAAAACGGAGACGCCCCAGGTTGAGGCCAGTGGCGTTGCCAGGGCGCCTCCGGGCCGGGCGGCCAGCACCTGTGGCAACCGGAGAACTTGGGAGGTGACTCCTCCCCAGTCAGCCTGGACGCCCAAGGACGATGACCCTCCGCCCGGCTCCAGTGAGTACACACAAAAGAAAACAAAAATAGTGGAAATCAAACCATACGTCGGGATATTTGCTGGATTAAATCCTCCAGAGGCATTGGAGTTCAGGTTGCTGTTGTTTGTTTAGTAAAAATGCACGCAATAAACAGGAAGTCATTTATTTACAAATACAGTGGCCCTAGACAAGCCAGGTTCCGGGTACCTAACTCATTAATGGAATTCATTCCTTCTCCTCCCTTTGGAAAGAGAAATTTTAGCTTTTAAAAATAGCTGGGTCTTGGGGGAGAAGAGGAGGGGTTGCTTTACCTGTTCCTAGGAAAGGAGCAGGGTGTCTGGCCAGTGGCTGTCTCCAGGTGTTAAGCAGTATGAGATGACCATTCACAAGATATGGAGGGTTTTTTCCCCCTTTTTACTCTTCAGAAAAGAAGTTTGTTGGTCGTGGTTGCTGTTACCAGAGCGGGCCAGTGGGGATGCACTGGTAGTTACCCCTGGTTGGCGTGTGTTTGTGCGTATGCCTGTGTGCACATGTGGAAAAAAACTCAAATTTAAATAACCCGGGTTGTTTGGGGCTACACCAGAATTTTACCCGTAAACTCACTTAGTTGTCATAGTTTCAAAAATGTCCGTGGAGAGGTTGCTGCCACCTCCCTTCCTGAAAGGAGTTATACTGAGGGGGACAGAACGAGCTCTGGGCTTGCTAGTGGCCAGGCTAAGCCAGTATCGCTTACCTGCTTAACCTGCGTCTGGCCTCCTCTAATTCAGGGAGCTTTCTCCAAGGGAACCCCCTTCCCCTGCCACTTGGGAGAGGGGCACTGTGGGGAGAGACCTGTCCGAGGGAATGGCAGACCCCACTGTGAGTCTCCAGGTGACCCGCTGAGCCATGAGTAAACGTCAGAAGCGCAGGACACACCTGAGGTATGTCTGGGCTTTGTGAGTCCCAACATGACACGAGTTTACAGATGACACACACACAAACGGTAACTGTTGTCCATTGTTGGAGCTACAGAGTAAGGTGGAGGAATGAGAGGAAAGTAAAAACATCTTTTTAATACAAAAACAAAAGCACAGAGGACGTTCTGAGGAAACGCTTCCTGGGAGATCACATTCGTTCTGTCCCCCAGGACTGCCTCCTGGCGGAAGGGAAGCCCATTTAGTCGGCTGGAACACTGCACACTGCACTAGGATAGATATTCATTTCAAAGAGCTCGCCTTGTGCCAGCATTAAAGGTGCCAAAACCTGCCACCATCACTCTCCCTGAGTTCAGACAGGGCTACTTGGAGAAGTGAGTGGGGGCCAGGCAGGTTTACTCACTCTGACCGACCCTATAGGAGTCTCAAAGGGAGAGTCTATTTTTCATTTACATTTTCACCGTTGAAAACCCTCCAGCAGAGTTTTAAAAATTAAAAAGGTCTAATCAGAAAGTACAGTACCATCCAAGAACTAACAAAATGAAAATAAATGTCTTCCTAGCTTGTTCTTGAGAATGCATAAGTTACAACAGGGAAAAACCCATCCGTGAACCAAGTACCACCTACGAACTATTTTTAATTAACCTTTTGGAGGAGAAACCTTTCACACTTGCTTAGGCGATCCCACTGACTAGACTTTGTACTCCTGGATGATTTCTTCCTAACAGGGCTTTAAGAATGTTTCAAACCTGAGAGACATCATTAACTCTCCTGAGAAGTATTTCATAGTTGTCCTGGATGTTTTTAACAAGAGGCATGCTGAGCAGGGAGCCTTCCTGGGAGATCACACTAGCTCTATGCAGGGAGGTCTGGGGGAATGGAAGAGGTGAGCCCTCCAGGGCTCTGCACAGCCTGCCCCTGACATGGGCGTCCTGCCTTTTGGGAGGAGGGGCCGGCCGAGGTCAGCACTATTTACACGTGTACCTGGTCCCACAAGCTTTCCCCGACTTTTCAAAGCAGAGGGGCTGCCCAGGAGGCGGGTAGAAGTGAAGGGAGACCCAAAGATGGATCAGTTACCTATCCCCTTTGTTCCTGGCTCTTGAATGGGGGCTTGAAGGAGGAAAATAAAAGCCCCCAGGGAATGAGGCCTGCACCCCATTTGTAACACCCTGATACCCACAGCCCACCCCAGCCAGAAACCCTTGTGTCAGCTGATTTGGAGCAAAATGGTAACTGAGGACTCCCTGAGTGTGTTACATAAGAGAGAGGCCTTCTGCAGGGCGCTGCTCACTGGAGCTTTCTCCAAATGACTGTGTGCAGGCAGCAAGGCTGAGGAAGGAGGCATGGAGACAAATTAAATAGAAAACTAATGGGAGATGTGTAGCTGTGTGTAGCTGGGTCTGACAATGCATGTTAAGCTTATGTGCATGGAGACAGCCGTCACTTGGACCTCCTGTGTGCCAGGCATCTTCCTTCAAACATCTGCCCAGGGCTGTACTTTGGCTGTGGAGAAGTCAGACCTAAATTGGGAAGGGGATGCAATCCACCCCAGAACAGTGGGAGCTGGTTGCCCTGTAGCCACTAGGAACCAAGTGAGTTCAGAGCTGTGTTATCCTCACCCCGCTCTTTCTGCCAGAATCCTGCAAGCCTTCCTGTGCGAGGGCAGGTTACCCCCTCCCCATGTGCTCTGCTGTGCCCACCCCAGTCACTGCCTGTGGCTGAGAGCTACTCATTCACCAGCAGCAGGAGCCGCTGCCCCGGGTCACATTCAGAAAGCCTTTTCTTCCCAGAGAACCCCGCCAAATGGCGAAAGCAGTGCAACCC